TCCAAGGCCGCAATGCCATTGGCCCTCGCCAGATTGAAGCTAGTTCTGGTCTCGAACACGCCCCGGATCCCCTTCGCTCCGGAGAGCTCCCCCCTCTTGGAGGAGCATGCCTTCAAGTGCTCCGTGGCGCAGTAGTTGTAGTTGCTCCGGGTCTTGAAAACGGTCATGAGGTCGTGCTTTTCACCCGCCTCGGGGTCGTCCCGCTCCATGCCCATGACCACTGCTCGCCAGTACATCAGGTCTTCCTTCGATGGGTACATCTCGGCGCCGGTGCACTTCCCCATCATGCAAGCCACAGCCATGGCCCTTTCCACGCTCTGGTAAATGTACAAGACTAGTGTCATGGGATGCTTTGGAGTTGTTCCAAGCTTGCAACACAAACTCAAACTACCAACTAGGCGGACCATAAGTATGTAGCATGAAACCGATGTTTGACCACCTTTCAATTCATGCAAGGCATACAAAGAGCATATCTTCTGAAAGGCCAGCTACAAAGATTCCAAGTTGAAGGTTCCCTTACAATTTCGTCTCCTTTCGCTCGTCGCTTGAAGGCATCGCTCACGTTATTCACTGTGAGCTCGCCGTCCTCCACCACAGTGCCAGCGTCACAGTAGCGTCAGCACAATGCAAAGTGGATTGAGAAGGCATGTTCGGTTCCATTTCATCTCACTGAGAATCATCAACGTGATACTTGTACCTAGTTGCCAATCCACATTTTTGGGGCACAAGTTCCGGTAAGCTCCTTTACGCATTATTTATTGGACAATGTGCGCATGAATATGACTTGTCCCTTGCAAAGACACGCATGGCGCATAGACTCAGTTAGTCCTTCCAAAGCGGCTCTGATTGGATTCTGGGCGCGGAACTTCAAACACACACTCTCCCAACCTCAAAACTCTTCACAACTCACCGGAGTTCCGTACCACCACTTGCATAATGCCGCCACTCCCTGCACCGCTGCCACGGCCCCCCAGAGACTTGCTCTTGGCGACCACTTCGGAAGCTGAACGGTGGAGTGACGCCTCTCTCAGAGGCTCTCTACCCATCCCAAGGGTCTTCAGATTCCCCATGAAGTCCCCAGACCCCCGTCTAGCCTGCTGCTCGTCTAGAGCCTTCCTGCGCTGCCAATTCAATGTGGATTTTTCCTCTTCGGAAGACTCTGAATCGGAAGCTCCCACCGCTCCCGCTTTCCCGTTGCCTTTGACCTTGTTCTCGTCCACTTCTTGCCCTGACCCCGTCCTAAAGTAGCTGTTCACCAAGACTCCGTCTTGAACTGGGTCGTCTCCCGGCAGCATTGACTCCCTGTCCTGAGGCCTGAGGTCCCCTGGGTTTTCCCGACCGCCAAACTCAACCCTCACACTGGAGTTGCCTTGGCCATGGGTGGATCCCTTTGGTTTGCCTCCTTTTCCGCCCTCCTTTGACCCTTTGGCCTTCTTCTTCCGAATCTGCTCTGGGGGCTCGTCCTGATCCTCAAAGTCCAGTCTCCCCAAGCTCCTCTTCAGCTTTTGTGCACTCATTGCTTCCGCTTTTGCTGCACGTTCTTCTTCCGCCCTCAGTATCCGGCCGCCCTGCCCCCCAAAATTGCCGACTCTGCCGCCTACCATGCTTAGTGCCCCTGATGGCTGTTGTGCAGGGTGACTCAAGCGCGGCAAGAACGTTGGAAGGTGGAGCACACTGTCTTCTAAAAGCAGGCGTTCTACTGTAGACTGTAGGATAGTGGTGTCAGATGTACCTAGTTTATCCCTGCTTGAACTTGAAGGCTACCCAGTCACGGGACCTTGTCTCAAGTCTACAGCCTGCACTACCTACGTGTCCTGGAGAGAGTGTATGTCCTCGTCGTGCAAGTGCAGGCTCTCAAGCACCCCTTTAACGCAACCTAATCGCTTCGACGGTACGAAACGAGCGAAACTCCGAAGTTTGAATTCGTATTTCTTGCGCGGTCGACATCGCAACCGTTCATCTTTGGTGATGGTTTGAATCGACGGTACAGAGGAACCGCCGAATATCAAGGATGTCAAAGCGTGATTCACCGTGGATTTTAGCACTGACGAACCTGACCATGCAATCTAGGCCGTCCGGCAGGAATGTTTGAAAGGTTAGGTACCGGCCTATCGCGCCGGATCGGCCGGCCGGCGCCAACATGGAACTCACTCAGTGACTCAGTGACTCAGTGATTCAGTGACTGGCAACAAATATTGAAAGTTTGAAAAGCAGCTTGGCAATTTCAGAACGTGCCTACCCAGCTGATCAGCTATAGGTAGCAGCCTTCTAGCGGTGCATTGGCGACTCGCCTTCCCTTCATAGAGCACCTTATCTTCCATTCACTTCTGGTGCAAGGACGGCGTGACAGGACCCCTGCGCTTGGGATCCAATATGTTGCTCTTCTTTGGAGCGAGCGGAAACTCAGCGCGGCATCCTAGATGGCCAACTCAAAATGTCTCTTTCAAAGGATAGTTCGCCAAGCGAGGCGCTGATCTGTGAGGGTTGCAACAAAGCTTTCTCGGGACTGCACTTTACCACC